AAGGAGCGCAAGCTGCCACCCCAGCCCAAGAAGGGCCACTTGTGCCAGGGCATCAGCCACACGGTGGCCTCGTGTCCACTGAAGGCCCAGCAGGCCCCCAGCTCGCAGGGAAAGCCAGCCTACTTTCGGGAGGAAGAAGAGATCCATAGCCCTGCCCTACTCCCAGAGGCCCAGCATTGAGCTACAGTGGGTGGGGGCAATCCTTTTGTGATCAGGAAGTTTGGAGGAGCAGGCGTCAATGGGCAGAGTGGAGAAAGTAGGGACAAGGTGGTAGGGGGCAGCTGGCTCTGCCATAGATCTCAGGCAGGGGTCCCACAACATCACCCCCTCTTCCTTCTTGGCGCAGGGTAGGGGGGAAGGGGTGAGGCAAATGAACTACAACCATGCTCTATCCAAATGCTTATGGAGGGTTCTGGAGAAAATCCCTCCCCGTGTGCTTTACCTGAGTCTCCACCCTCAGATCTCCAGCTTTTGAAAGTGGCCTGGATAGGAAGTTGTTTTCCTTTCAAAGAAGGACATGTAGGGCAGCCCGGGTGCCTCAGTGAAACGTTTAGTGCCACCTTCAGCCCAGGGCATGGCCCTGGAGACCCAGGATCCAGTTCCACTCTGGGCTCCCTGCATGGAGCCTGTTTCTCCCTCTGCCTGTGTCTCTGCCTCTCATGAGTAAATAAATAAAATCTTAAAAAGAGGAAGAGGAAGAAGGAGGAGAAGGAGGAAGAGAAGAAGAAGAAAAAGGAGGAGGAGGAGGAAGAAGAAGAAGGAAGAAGGATGAAGAAGAAGAAGAAGAAGAAGAAGAAGAAGAAGAAGAAGAAGAAGTAGTAGTAGTAGTAGTAGTAGTAGTAGTAGTAGTAGTAGTAGTAGTAGTAGTAATTTTTCCCAAGCCAGAGTGTAGAGTTGAAGCATGAGATCAGAATGGTGGGCCCCACCCACGAACCACTAGATTCTGTGGGGAGGGAATCTCTAAGGCGTAAGGCAGGGTTTTCCCACGTCGTGTCCCATAACCCACTCTTGGGATAGGGTGCGGAGGACGGTCCCAAGCAATGGGTTGTGATATAGCCACAGGGATTCTTGGGGGAATAGCTACAGACCTCCTGTTCCTAAACTTAATCCCACCCCATTCTGGGTCGATAGGATTTTATGTATTTGCTCCCTTGGACGACAGCACCTTGGGCCCCACTTTCTCCAGGACGCCAACTGCACTAGCTGTGTGCGAATGATGTATCTTGTGCATTTTAACTTTTTTTTTCCGTAATATAAATATTCTGGTTTTTGTATTTTTGTGCATTTTAATCTTAAGGCCCTTGTTCCTGCACTGTGTTCTCAGGTACATGAGCAATCTCAGGGATAAGTCAGCATCAGGGATCCCATCCGCATCAGGCTCCCTTTAGGAGAGACTATGCCTATGTCTCCTCCCTCTGCCTTTGTCTCTGCCTCTCTCCCTGTGTCTCTAGTGAATAAATAAATAAAATCTTAAACAAATAATAATGAGGCTAAGTTGAAATAGGATTCAAGTTAGTGTTCCCTGGGGCTATTTTTTTTTTAAATCTAAAGTTATTTTAAGTCAGCTTTCTCATATATCACTTGACAAATTTACAAGTCTGTCCTTTTTTTTAAATCTTAAGCCAGTTAGTATCATGGAAAATTATACAAAATTAGAAAGAAGCATGTAAGGTACCCCAATGTATCTTTTCCTTAAGCAGGAATACTTTTTTTATCACCAGGGCGAACTATTTGGAGTGCATAGCCTATTGAATTACCTCATTTTTGCCAATTAGAGCTGGCTTTTCTGCCACAGTGTTCTCTTGAAACCCCTCTACCTTCAGTGTTTCAAGGGAGATGAGGTTTTAACTCAGTTGCCCCATGACTTAATCTCCTTCTAGTGGAAGATTGGAAATTGGTCTAAACAGGAAAAGCTGGTACAGGAAGTAACATTAGGAGAGGCCGCACCAGCTGAAAGGTGCAGAGGGGAAGCCAGGATTAGTCAAGGGTTGTCTTTACGTGTAATAAAAGATTCCTGTTCCAGATTTCTAATCCTAGGGCATGGGATTCACTCTACATACCAGATCCATCCTTTGCTGGATTGGGCTAGGCCTACCATGCACAGCAGGGTGTGTGTGTGCATGCACGCACATGTTTTAAAGATGAGTTGGTAAGGATAGGTTTAAGAATAGAAACTCTGGAACCCATCTTGAGCTGCCCAGGGATGGAGTGTATGAAGCAAAGGCTAACTTTCTTAACCTTTATAAAGTCTGGGCTTTTCTTGTTGACTTCCAGAGAGACCATAAGCCATGGCTCCCTTGCAGTGTCCAGAGCCAGTGTCCTGCACTGCTGCAGCAGTGATTAGGGTCTTGGTAGCTAAAGGATAAAAGAAGGTTTTACTTAATATGCTGTGAGATCACCACAAACCTACCTGACGGTGTTGAAATGGGGCAGATGCAATAGAACACATTGGGTGATGTGTGTATGATCCTGGGTTCTTGTCTCCCCTGCTTGCTGCCTCCTCTAGTGATTGTATTTGTCTGGGTTTTGTAGGTTTTCATGAATAGCTGATTGGGTGATGGCTAGGTGGCCTGGTTTGTGTAAATATAATGTGTTAGTCTCCCCCCACCCCCAGAAAAAAAAGGATTTTATTTGAGTGAGAGAACAAGAGAGAGAGACAGAGAGAGCACATGAGCGAGCATGAGCAGCTAAGAGGGGCAGAGGGAAAGGGATAAGCAGACTCCCCACTGAGCAGGGAGCCCAACTCGAGGCTTAACCAAATGAGTCACCTATCCAGATGCCCCTTTAATAAATAAATCTTTAAGAAAAAAAAGTAAAGCATGAACAGAGATGAAGAGTAATAAAATTAGGAAAAATTAAAGATATGTGGCGCATGTGCTAGAGAGAAATAGGTTGTATAGTGCCCTCCTGGTCATTTTGACTACATGCTACATTTAAATACTCAGAATATTATTTATTATACTTAAGATGTAGGTCTTTTAGTTCTTCAATTTCAGTTCTTCACTCAACTGTATTATTAAAACAATAGGGGCTCCTGGTTGGCTCAGTGGTTGAGCGACAGCCTTTCGGTTTGGGGCGTGATCCCAGAGTCTCAGGATCAGGTCCTGCATCAGGCTCCCTGCATGGAGCCTGCTTCTCCCTCTGCCTATGTCTCTCCCCCCACCCCCCCACCCTCCCACCCTGTCGCTCATGAATAAATAAATAAAATCTTAAAAAAAAAACCCAAAATAATAATAAGCAGGCTAAGTTGAAATAGGATTCAAGTTAGTGTTCCCTGGGGCTATTGGTTTTTTTTTTTTTAATCTAAAGCTATTTTAAGTCTGCTTTCTCATATATCACTTGACAAATTTACAAGTCTCTCCTTTTTTTTTTTAATCTTAAGCCAGTAGGTATCATGGAAAATTATACAAAATTAGAAAGAAGCGTGTAAGGTACCCCAGTGTATCTTTTCCTTAACTTTATTTATTCAGCTAAATCTCTACCTACTGTCCTCTCCCCATTATTTTGAAGCAAAATTTTGCCCTAATTCCTATCATACTGTAGCATGTATCTGTAGAGATATTCTTTTTTTAGATTTATTTATTTACTTATGATAGACACACACAGAGAGAGAGAGAGAGAGAGAGACAGGAGGGAGAAGAAGGCCCCATGCTGGGAGCCCGACGTGGGACTCGATCCCGGGACTCCAGGATCACGCCCTGGGCCAAAGGCAGGCCCCAAACCACTGAGCCACCCAGGGATCCCCTTTAGATGTTTTCTATCGCACACAATGCCATTGTCACACCTAAAAATAATTCCTCAATTATGTTCCTAATTTTTCCAACTCATTGCAAGAAGACTATAGTATAGAATAGTAGTATTACCGAAGAATTTAAAGATTTAAGGCATCTCTAATTCCCTTCCCTACACCCAGAGGGAAGAATTAGCTTTTGTAACCAAGGAAACAATTAACCATCTATCATTAGCACTTCAGCTATACATGCAACATAGTGTTTTTTGTTTAAAGAAAAATGTATTGCTACGCAAAGAAATTGGCCCTAATGATTTTTGTGTTAGAAATTGGAGGAACAGGGCAGCCTGGGTGGCTCAGCGGTTTAGCACCACCTTCAGCTCAGGGCCTGATCCTGGAGACCCAAGATCGAGTCCCACGTCGGGCTCCCAGGATGGAGCCTGTTTCTCTCTCTCTGCCTGTGTCTCTGCCTCTTTGTCTCTCTGTGTCTCTCATGAATAAATAAAAATCTTAAAAAAAAAAAAGAAATTGGAGGAACAGAAGGAAACTTTATTCCACAAATTTTAAGGACTATTTGTTAATTACTAAAATTTTGGCTTTTTAAATGAGAATTTTTTTTTTTAAGATTTATTTTGGTGGGGGGGGCGGGGAGGCCAGAGGGAGATGGAGACTCTCAAGCTGACCCCCCACTGGGTGAGGAGCTCCATTCCACAACCCTAAAATCAGGACCTGAGTTGAAATCAAGAGTCCGATGCTTAATTGACTGAACCACCCAGGCACCCCATATATATATAAATTTTTTTTAAGATTTTATTTATTTATTCATGAGACACACACAGAGAGAGAGATATTATTATATATAATTTTTATGATAATCATTTTCTGTAGTCTGTATCTTTGGACAGGTTTGTGAATGGACAACTGAAAATATAACTTATGAAAGTCTGGGATTGCAACAGGTAAATATGGAAGTGTTCATTTTCTTTTGTATTCCTATCTGCATTTGAGTCTACTTCAAATAATAATGGAAGCTTACTGACTCTTCTAAGGAATTCTAAGACAAGTTACCAGCCACTAAAGAAACTAAAGAATCTATCCAGAACAGTAAAAGTTGTTCATCCCAGGGATATCTTATTCCACCCCCTGCCAGGACATCTTTAAAAAAAGAAAAAAAGAAAAAAAGAAAGGCCAATACACAGAGGAGTCAACTTAACTTTTTTTTTTTTTTTTAAGATTTTATTTATTCATGAGAGACAGAGAGAGGCAGAGATACGGGCAGAGGGAGAAGCAGGCTCCATGCAGGGAGCCTGACATGGGACTCAATCCCGGGTCTCCAGGATCACACCTTGGGCTGAAGGTGGCGCTAAACCGCTGAGCAGCCCGGGATGCCCAACTTAACTGACCCTTAACATAGAACATAAGAAAAAGGGAGTGACCAGAACAAAGAGCTTTTTAGACCACACTTGTGAGCTGAACTTGGTATTATAGCATATGAATATACCACTGCAGGAAAATGAAATAACCAGATTTAAATATAATATATATACATATATACATATATACACATATATTTAATTTACCTATAATGTTTTCATTGTTTTATTTTTAAAATACTGATCCTGGAACTTGTGAATGTTCCAATTTAATGCAAGGTGAAGTTAAATAAATCTTGACATTAATTCAGTAAACAATTCAGTAAAATTAATTCAGTATAACATACTTATCAAAAAACTTTTCTAAAACTTTTTTTCATTTTTTTTTTAGTCACCCAGCACTCACAAGGGTAAGTGCCCTCATTAATCCCCATCACCTAGTTCATCCATCCCCCCAACCTCCCCTCTGATAATCATCAGTTTATTCTCTATAGTTGAGTCTGTTTTTTTCCCTTTGCTTGTTTTACCTCTTAAATTCCACAAGTGAAATAATGTATTTATCTTTCTCTGACTTATTTTGCTTAGCATTATACTCTCTAGCTCTATCCATGTCATTGCAAATGATAAGATTTTGTTCTTTTTTATGGCTGAGTCATATTCCAGTGTGTGTACCCACCTCTTTATCCATTCATCAACTGACAGGACACTTGGCTGCTTCCATATCTTGGCTATCGTAAATAATGCTGCTATAAATATAAGGGTGCATGTATCCCTTTGAATTAGTATTCTTGTATTCTTTTTTTTTTTTTTGTAAATACCTAATAGTGCAATTACTAGATCACAGGGTAGTTCTATTTTTAATGTTTTGAGAAACCTCCTTCCATACTGTTTTCCACAGTGGCTGCACCAGTTTGCATTCACACCAAGAGTGCAAGAGGACTCCTCTCCACATTCTTGCCAGCACCTGTTGTGTTTTTGGTTCTAGACATTCTGACAGGTATGAGGTGATACCTCATTGTAGTTTTGATTTGTATTTCCCTGATGATGAGTGATGGTGAGCAGCTTTTCATGTGTTTATTGGCCATCAGGATGTCTTCTTTGGAGAAATGTCTGTTCATGTCTTCTGCCCATTTTTTTTTAAAGCTCTTTTTTTTTAATATATTTTTTTAATTTTTATTTATTTATGATAGTCACACACACACAGAGAGAGAGGGGCAGAGACACAGGCAGAGGGAGAAGCAGGCTCCATGCACTGGGAACCCGACGTGGGATTCGATCCCGGGTCTCCAGGATCGCACCCTGGGCCAAAGGCAGGCGCTAAACCGCTGCGCCACCCAGGGATTCCTTCTGCCCATTTTTAATTGGATTATTTGGGGGTTTTGGGGTATTGAGTTGTGTAAGTTCTTTACATATTTTGGATACTAACCCTTTATCAGATTATCGAAAAGAACTTTAGAGCATTAAAGACCTTTGAAATGTCTTTTAAGGTTTAATTTCTAGAAATACAGCAGAACAAACATTCTTACTTAACAGGCATTAGAGAATTTGACCGAATTATGAAATGTTCAGTGTGACAAGGTGGACCAAAGAGGCAGAAAACCGAGTCATATGACTTTGTTTTTCAACACAGCGATAGATGATGTCGGCTAGGAAAAATACAAATCTTTGAGTGCTTACCAAATACATCTTTATCTAGTTTTCATTTGGTATACTGTAAAATGGCACATTCCAAAAACTATTATATACAGAGAGTAATCCTTTTCTAATCCTCTGTCCCTATGTTCCCAAGGATATCAACATTAAAGTGTTTATCTACTTGAGCTGAATCAAGCCAATGGCGTAATTTCAATGTGAATCCTTTATTGTCCTGTAAGGTCATGGCATAACTGATTTTATGTAGAACAGGTAGTTCTCATTTCTGAATTAGCTGCTCTGCTCTCTCTCTTCCACGTTGAGTACAGTATCCACGGTTATTCCTATGTCCTGCAGTGACCAGCCTCCCCCCACTTCCAGAGGCCGTCTGGGAAAGGAAGTAGAAAGGCTGTATAGGGATGTGTGGTACCCGATTTTCTTCATCCAGTCAAATAAGACCTAGAAGATAAAAAGTTTAGCTATCAAATACGGAGTACAGTTGTGCCCCTCGAGGTCACCAATGATATTTTATAATTCTTTCACTGTTAAATCCTAGGGGTAACAGCATGATTACAGAACCTTCTAGAGTATAAAGGAAAACAGCATGCCAAGAATCGTGAAATGCAAATACCTTTTTTGTTTTGTTTTTCTAAAGATTTTATGTATTTGTGAGAGAGTGTGAGAGAAAGCATGAGCAGCAGGGAGGGGCAGAGGGAGAGGGAAAAACAGACTCTCCACTGAGCAGGGAACCCGATTTCAGGTTTAATCCCAGGACCCTGAGATCATGACCTAGCGGAAGGCAGATGCTTAACCGACTGAGCCACCCAGGTACCCCTGATGCAAATACCTTAAATACCTTTCCAAAGTTTCAGAGAAGGCCTAGGGCCTAAAGGCACTGATCGACAGCAGGGACATTTAACACTTAGGAAAGACCCAACCATAGAGAATAAAAAGGTTATTCAATTTATAAGTTGAGAACGAAAAGTAAGCACTTGGAAAAAAGTTATTTAGAACAAAATCTAAGCCAACAGTCCACATCAAAATGACTCAGGAACTTTGTCACCAGAGACCTGTCCAGGCCCCAGTGACTCTGCCTTATGATCCCCATTTTCAATGGGCTATTCCTATAAATTGAGGACATTTCCTGTTATGAAGATTTCCACAGTAACTGTCAAAACTTCCAGGTACTACTGCCTAAAAATGTCTGCCAAACGGCTGTTTGCTGCTTTCGGAAGAAAGCTGGATCCTAGAATATTCTTGGGAGAAGCTAGAGTATCAATTACAGATACTCAATTATAGATAATCTCTGACTTCTCCGGGTAACCACCATCCAAGAATCTACTGACATTCCATGTAATAAACATACATCTAGGTCATAAAGCTTCGTAATTTTCTAATATTTGGATATGCCTTAATTCAACCAATCCCTATATAAACACACACCTTTGATCATTTCACTTATTTCCATAGAATAGATTCTCATGATGAAATTAATGGGAGCACCTGAGTGGCTCAATCAGTTAAGTGCCTGCCTTCAGCTCAGGTCAGGATTCCACAGTCTTGGGATAGAGCCCTACATCAGGCTCTTTGCTCAGCCGGGTACCTGCTTCTCTTCCCTCTGCCCTTCCCCACCCTGCTTGTCTTCTCTGGCTCTATCTCTCTCTCAAATAAAATCTTAAAAAAAATTAATGAACCAAAAGATATAAAGATTAATTATCCTTAGGAACAGAGGCCCAATTTATATTCACATGAACAATTAAGGAGAATCACTGTTTTCTCCACACACAGGCCAAAACTGCGTACTCATCTTTTTAATCTACAACAATCTAATAGGTAGAGAATTGTGTCCCATTTCAGTTTGCACATCTTTGATTCTAAGTAAGGCCAAAATTTTTATGTCACTTGTTTTTTTCTTTAGGAAATCCTTCATTTTTTTTTTAATCTGCCATTCTAATTTCCTTGATTTGTACAATACCTCATCATAAAAAAATGACTATCATATATAGATGTAAAATATTTTTTCTGAAGTTTTAGCTTTATGAACTTTCTTTTTTTATTTTATTTTTTTTAATTTTTATTTATGATAGAGAGAGGGAGAGAGAGAGAGAGAGAGAGAGGCAGAGACATAGGCAGAAGGAGAAGCAGGCTCCATGCACCGGGAGCCCGACATGGGATTCGATCCTGAGTCTCCAAGATCGCGCCCTGGGCCAAAGGCAGGCGCTAAACTGCTGCGCCACCCAGGGATCCCTCTCTCTTTTTTAAAACAAGATTTTATTTATTTGAGAGAGAAATCACAAGTGGTAGGGAGGGGCAAAGGAAGAGGGGGAAGCAGACTCTCCCCTGAGCAGGGGGCCTGATGTGGGGTTTGATCCCAGAGCCAGAGCCAAAGGCAGATGTTCAACCGACTGAGTGACCCAGGTGCCCCTTAACTTTTCCTTTATAGAATTTTACATTTCAGGGCACTTGGGTGGCTCAGTTGGTTGAGCATCTGCCTTCAGCTCAGATCATGATCCTGGGGTCCTGGGGTCCTGGGATCCAGTCCCATGTTGGGCTCCCTGCTCAGCGGGGAGCCTACTTCTCTCTCTCCTTCCTGGCTCATGCTCTCTCTTGCTATCTCTGTTGCTATCTCTGTCTCTCTCAGATAAATAAAATATTTTTTTTATTTTTTAAAAGATTTTATTTATTTATTCATGAGGGACACAGAGAGAGAGAGAGAGAGAGAGGCAGAGACGCAGGCAGAGGAAGAAGCAGGCTCCATGCAGGGAGCCTGATTTGGGACTCGATCCCAGGACTCCAGGATCACGCCCTGGGCCGAAGGCAGGCACCAAACCACTGAACCAGCCAGGGATCCCCCAAATTTTATTTATTTATTCATGAGAGACACACAGAGAGAGGCACAGACACAGAGGAAGAAGCAGGCTCCATGCAGGGAGCCCGATGTGGGACTCGATCCCAGGACCCCAGGATCATGCCCTGGGCCGAAGGCAGGATAGGCTCTAAACTGCTGAGCCACCCAGGTGTTCCAGATAAATAAAATCTTTTTTTTTTCCCCCAGATTTAATCTTAAAAAAAAAAAAAAAAAAGAATTTTACATTTCTATGTAGTCAAATCCTTCAATATTTTCCATTATAGTTCACAGCATGCTCTTCATAGATGGCTAAATCCAACAATCAGGACAGAAAACTGTTTAGACATATTTTTTTTTTTGGAGTGTTTAGACATATTTCTAATAAAATTCATACTCAAGTGTGCTTAAAAGTAGAAATACACCAAAATATTAGCAATCTGCCTTGGTGTCAAACAGCAGATCAAGTCTTTTTTCTATTTTCTATTTTTCTAGATTTTCCAGAATATGGCTAATGAATACAGCATTGTTTTTAAGAGAAAAAAAGACCTCTAAAGAATGATCTAAAAATTACATAGAGATTTAAAAGCATCTTGTCTTTTTAAAGATTTTATTTATTTGAGAGGGAGACAGAGATAGCAAGAGGGTAGCAGAGGGAGAAGCAGGCTCCCCACTGAGCAGGGAGTCTGATGCAGGGCTCAATCCCTGGGATCATGACCTGAGTGGAAGGCAGACACTCTACTGACTAAGCACCACAGGTGCTTGGATTTGAAAGCATCATATCTACCAAGCTGTGAAAAAGTAATTAATAACAAAATGAATTAGCAGAGCAGCTAATTCAGAAATGAGAACTACCTGTTCTACATAAAATCAGTTATGCCATGACCTTACAGGACAATAAAGGATTCACACTGAAAAATAGGAAAAGAACTGAAAAAAAAAAAAAAAAAGTGTTGCAATCACAATTCAGAAAGATCCAGCATGCCAAATTATCAAATTTCTGCAACACAGAGTACATATAATCCCCTCTACCCTCACCTGAAGGGAGTACCAGACAAGAAAGTGGTAATACCTCCCCCACTGCATTAGAGTAAATTACTGTCAAATTCAACAAAAGCATTTCTCAAAATAGGGATTTCCTCACCTGTGAACTGCAAGACTTCAAAAATCTTCTTCTCAGGACATTCCCGCTTGGACATCGGAGAGCAACAGTAACTACCTAAGGAGTAAAAATGTTCAAATAAGAATTCCAGTGCATAGGGCAGCCCTGGTGGCCCAGTGGTTTGGCACTGCCTTCGGCCCCGGGTGTGATCCTTGGGGCCCGGGATCGAGTTCTGTGTCGGGCTCCCTGCACTGAGCCTGCTTCTCCCTCTGCCTGTGTTTCTGCCCCTCTCTCTCTCTCTCTCCATGTCTGTCATGAATAAATAAATAAAATCCTTTTTAAAAATGATAAAAAAAATATTCCAGTGCACTGCTCTTGCAATTCCAAAATTGCTACTCTTGTGAAACGTCCATAATTCTAAACAGTTTGTGTGGGGGGTTTGTAGGCATTTAGCTCTGAGAGTAGTAGGCCAACATGAAGATCCAGATAAAATTCACTCTGAATTTAAAAATGCCTTCTGAAATGGAAGAACATCTTCCTACTGATGGAGATCAGTGACAAAGCCCTCCAGAGAGGACAACAGAAACTACATGCTTCTGTCTGTCCAGATGGTATCAAGGCTGCACGTGGGCTTCAAAAATTCATCTACCAGGGCAGCCCTGGTGGTGCTGCGGTTTGGCGCCGCCTGCAGCCCAGGGTGTGATCCTGGGGACCCGGGATCAAGTCCCACGTTGGGCTCCTTGCATGGAGCCTGCTTCTCCCTCTCCCTGTGTCTCTGCCTCTCTCTCTGTGTCTCTCATGAATAAATAAATAAAATCTTTAAAAAAAAAAATTCATCTACCAAACCAAGAAGATCCTGTGCCATCCCAGTCTAGAGACAAGAAAAACACTGGACTGGAAGGAAAAAGTTTCCCAGGTTACTCTATCATTCCAGCCTGGAGTTGGTCCTAGAAGCTGGGATAGAGCTCCTGCTCTATCTGCATTATGTACCCAGTTTCCCCCATCATTTTTCCTTGAGTCAACAGTTAAATAGCTAAAAAGAGCTTGCAAATGGCTAGTTAATATTAAAAGACATTTAAAGGGCAGCCCCGGTGGCTCAGCAGTTTAGCGCCGCCTTCAGCTCAGGGTGTGATCCTGGACACCCGGGATCGAGTCCCATGTCGGGCTCCCTGCACAGAGCCTGCTTCTCCCTCTGCCTGTGTCTCTGCCTCTCTCTCTCTCTGTATCTCTAATGAATAAATAAATAAAATCTTAAAAAAAAAAAAGACATTAAAAAAAAGGTGAAGTAGTCATTTTTTTCTTTTATTAAATAATAAAAAATAATAATAATAATAACTGTCAGGAAACCCTTTCTTATGGTTAACATTATCATAACTGTCTTGGGAGTTATGCAGGCATCCTAGGACATAGAGATGGTGGTTTTGCAGCAGCACCTATCCTCCACAGGAAAGCCATGTTAGAAAATATTTCCATTCAAGTAGGTATCTGATTCATATCCAAACGAGTGCAATGCTGTGTTGTTAGTACTTCTAATAAGTTTTATAGTAAAAAAAAAAAATCACAAAACAACTAAATCACAGATTAAAAGCCAATTTTGCTTATTTTTAGAAACAACAAAATTTAACCTTTATAGTGAGGTTTTGTTCAAAGGTTAATGATCTGGAAGCAGAATTAAAGCCAAATGGTTTATGAAAAACTAGGGTTAAAATCTAGTGAATTAAAAATATATATTATAGTGAATTAATGTTTCCCATTATGATTAGATTACTCGAGGGAAATCAACTATCATTGTTTGAAATCTAGCAATTCTTCTGTTACTACAATTACTATGAAAGTTGGTTGTGCCATTTCTCCTAATGTTACTGACAGCATATAGACTGACAAATGAACAGGGGAACACAATCCAAATTGGAAAGTAAATCATTATGCCAAACACAGATTGTTAAATGAAATCTAAATTAAAAGTGGCAGCAAGCTGGCTGGCTCAGTCTGTGGAGCACCTGACTCTTGATCAAGTTCAAACCCTACACTGGGTGTAGAGATCACTTAAAATTTTTTAAATATTTTTTTAAAAAGCAGCAGGAATAATTAAAATTTGATTCCCAGGGACTCCTTAAAATGAAAGATAGTATACATAATGAAAATAGTTGATGGTAATATAGTTACATAATGATTTACAAAATTTTCAAGTCATCTTCAATTCTATAGCTGTTGTCTTTTCAATTTAAAAGTATAACTGTAATATCTGGTAAATATTCTACATTCTAGACTACCAGGACTTATTTCCTCTACTCACTTATTTTTTTTTAAAGATTTTATTCATTTATTCATGAGAGACAGAGAGAGAGAGAAAGAGGCAGAGACACAGGCAGAGGGAGAAGCAGGCTCCATGCAGGGAGCCCGACGTGGGACTCGATCCGGGGTCTCCAGGATCATGCCCTGGGCTGAAGGCGGCGCTAAACCCCTACGCCACGCGGGCTGCCCCACTCACTTATTTTTTTTAAATTTTATCTGTTTGAGAGGCAGAAAGAGAGAGAGAGAGCGAGTACGTGCATGCATTTGAATGGGTGGGAGAGGCCAAGGAAAGAAGGAGAAGCAGAGTCCCTGCTGAGCCCGGGGCCTGACCTGGGTGCTGGAGCCAGAAGCAGATGCTTAACCAACTGAGCCACTCAGGTGCCCCTCCTCTCATTTTTAAATTCTTACCATATTATTTTAGAACTCTATGGATGGTTGCAATACTAAATAAATAACAGGCACTTAAAAAAGAGTGTACTGCTTAAGTGAGAATAGCATTAATTATATTTAAAAATCTTTCCCTTTCCTATCAGAAATCCATGGAGTCATTAGTTTGCTCATCTATTAGTCCACTCCTAAATCCAAGCAGCCTTCCACCAGAATAGGAATTTCTTATGGCTCACTATCATAGAGTCACAGCTACCATATACAGGAATATACATACATATATAGTAAAAGCTCCATCTAGTTCTGAAAACCTTTTAAATGAATCTTAGGGGGCAACCGAGGTGGCTCAGTTAAGTGTCTGTCTTTGGCTCAGGTCATGATCTCAGGGCCCTAGGATCAGGCCCCATGTGCTCCCTGCTCAGTGGGGAATCTGCTTCTCCCTCTCCTCCTTGCTTGTGTTCTCTGTCTCAAATATATAATTAAGAAAAAAAAAAGTTAGTCCCTTCCCTTAGCAATACAGAATTATAAAGATGTTTCTCTATTCTGTGGGTGACATCAGACATTTAATGGGACTATAATAAGGAAATAAGAGATTTCATGAAAATCATAATTTCCAGCATCTCTAAAGGTAAAATTACACACACAGAGCTGAGATCCTCAAGAAACACCTGACTGCTACCCACCATCACAAAAAGGTGCAATTTAAATAAAGCATGCATTGACAACATGACCTCTGTGATCCATGCACCTTTGGTGACAGACTGCTGTCCTGTAGGACTTAAGTTATGTGTTTTAAAGCCAAGAGTAAATTCATAAAAGAGTAAATTCATAGACAGGTATTCCCTGTCAATCCTGAGCTATATTTAATTACTTCTGTGTTATAAATGGTCGTCATGGATACCAACCCAGTGCTTGATGAGAAGTGAGAATGTAGAGTGTGCAGGTCAGGATGGACATATCACAGACTTGAATTTGTTGGATATCACAGAAAGGAATTAGAAGTTGTTTTTCCTTTTTTATTTTTTTTAATTTTTTTTTTATTTATTTATGATAGTCATACAGAGAGAGAGAGGGGGGCAGAGACACAGGCAGAGGGAGAAGCAGGCTCCATGCACCAGGAGCCCGACGTGGGATTCAATCCCGGGTCTCCAGGATCGCGCCCTGGGCCAAAGGCAGGCGCCAAACCACTGCGCCACCCAGGGATCCCTGTTTTTCCTTTTTTAATTGTGTTTCTCCTGGAGGGTCAGGATCTGGATTGTACACTTCATTGTCTCTATTTTTGTATGACTTTGGGATTTTCCTCAGATGTCCAACGTACTCAACTGAATTGCTGAGAATGTGTTGATAAAAATGAGACCCTCCCAGTGGCTTTCCTGGTAGCCTCAAAACCGGTTTTCAAGGAGTAGAACAGCCCAGCTTAGAGCCCTAAGACATAGAAAACCATCAAGGCTTTCCTTCACCTGAAGGACTTTTTGGCTTTAAAGACAGGTGCCCCCAGGACATTGGAGACCCATCTGGAACTCAGCTGGCCAACTGGAGGAAGGCAGCAGACACCATAGCAAAGCTGCCAGGCAGAAGGCTCTTCTACCCTGAGTGGAGGTTCAGTGAGACCCTGCCCCCAAACCCACAAACTATCCTTCAATTCAAACATCTACACAGCAGCTGCATTCTTTAGTTCCTCTATTTTAAGGGGAAAACCACAATTTTAAGTAATCCTATTATCCTGATTCTGTTTAAGTAACTCCTTTGCCGACCCTAATGTTCTAGAAAAGCCCAGGTATCCTCCCTCTGCCTGATGCAGTGGGAGGGCTCTGAAACCCTTCAGGGTAAAGCCAGCCACTCCAAAGCAGGACGGGAGTGGAGGGGTTGAGATTACAGCACATTCAAAACAGGCCTAGTTTAAAAAAAAAAAAAAAAAAAAAAAAAAAAAAAAAAAACAGGCCTAGTTACAGTGCGATCGCATAAACATGGGTGCTTTCTTCTCTTTCTAAACTCAAACTGAAATAAGACATACTGGGATCCCTGGGTGGCGCAGCGGTTTGGCGCCTGCCTTTGGCCCAGGGCGCGATCCTGGAGACCGAGGATCGAATCCCACGTCGGGCTCCCAGTGCATGGAGCCTGCTTCTCCCTCTGCCTGTGTCTCTGCCTCTCTCTCTCTCTGTGTGTGTAACTACCATAAATAAATAAAAATTAAAAAAAAAAAGATTTAAAAAAGACATACTCACTTGATGTTAAAGAAAACAGAGAATATATTTAATTTCCAAAGGAAAAAAAATAAGCTTACTTCTTCAGCTGCTTCAGGAGGTTCTTCAGGTAGATTAAGAACCTAAAGAAAAGTGAGGGTGTGTAAGAGGAATGTAAATATTTTGAAGAAGAAAAAAAATCAATCACAGTGAGAAGAGTTCCTTTTAATACAGAGTTTAGGTACATTTAAGCTTAGTGAAGTCTTTTAATAGAAATTTATAAAGAATTTACAATATGAAAGAGCTCAATAAACATTTTTGGACAAGCAACTTTGTGCTAAGTAGATTATAGTAACAGGATGTGAGATGACAGCTACCCATCTATGTGCATGTAAGAATCTTATTTTTATGATTTTCTAAGATATATAATATTTAAAGAAACAAAGGATAAATATTAAGTTTAACAGACCCCAAATTATTTAGGTTCATACATATACACACTTAAAGTGCATATTTTTCTTTATCGGCACTTGTCAGAGACTGGGTAACTACCATTCACTTTGGTTGTCTTCACAATTTACTCACATTTCCCTAGTTTTACTTATCCATGACAAAACCAGGTGTTCAGACCATTTTCTCTCATTAAACACCGTTGCCAACAATTTCATCTTCGGGGATGCTTTTTGCTTTTTCATACTACTCATGTTTTATAGCATTTTATCTAACCAGCATTAATTGCATTTTATCAAAAAACCATCTGTTTTCCTTTGGTATCAAAAGCATATGACAGTCAACCAAAATTTACCATCAACACGAGACAAATCACGTTAGTAACAAAAAGCAAAGAATCCTAAATTTTTACTTAGTCCTTACAATTCATTAGATCTTTGTGAAATGCTAGAATAGTTCAGTGACCTGATTGCCCCCTTCATGCCCCATTAAGGGGCCAAGAGTCCTCAGACACAGAAGCAATACATGAGAAACTATTTTCAGGGAATATACGGCCTCCCAATTTTCCCTAAGAGCCAATGCAAAGAGACTTATTTCCAACCTTTGCCACTTCCAAATGAGAGAGGAGACAGGATTGAAGATTGTAAAGAACAGAAGAAATAGGGGCAGCCTGGGTGCCTCAGCAGTTTAGTGCCGCCTTCAGCCCAGAGCATGATCCTGAAGACCCAGGATCGAGTCCCACGTCAGGCTCCCTGCAGGGAGCCTGGCTTCTCCCTCTGCCTGTCTCTGCCTCTGTCTATCTCTCTCTCATTCTGTGTATCTCATGAATAAATAAATAAAATCTTTAAAAAAAAGAACAGAAGAAATAATAAATCTGAGGACTGTTCCAAAGCGAATGGTTGCTAACCCATTTCCTAGGAGGGCCACTAAGAAAAATGATACTCACATGTTAATAATATTACCCACTCACTAGGGACGCCTGGGTGGTTCAGTGGTTGACATCTGCCTTCGTCTCAGGTCGTGATCCCATAGTGCCAGGATGGAGTCCCACATCCAGCTCCCCGCATGGAACCTGCTTCTCCCTCTGCCCATGTCTCTCTCTCTCTCTCTCTCCCTCTCTCTATGTCTCTAATAAATAAATAAAATCTTGGGGATCCCTGGGTGGCTCAGTGGTTTGGCACCTGCCTTTGGCCCAGGGCATGATCCTGGTGACCCAGGATCGAGTCCCTCGTTGGGCTCCCTGCATGGAGCCTGCTTCTCCCTCTGCTTAGTCTCTCTCTCCTTGTCTCTCATGAATAAATAAAATCTTAAAAAAAAAAAAATTACTCACTAAATATGAGCTAATCATGTTTTTTTTTTCTAATCATGTCTTAGATACCCATAGGAATGTATCCTTTAGTAATCATTATATTTTTCATTTCTACATAACTGAATCCCTTCATCAAAAAGAACAGAGTATCTTCAGGATGCCAGTGTGGCTTAGCAGTTGAGCATCTGCCTTTGGCTCAGGGCATGATCCTGGGATCCAGGATCGAGTACCACATTGGGCTCCTTGTGGGGAGCCTGCTTCTCCCTGCCTGTCTCTCTGCCTCTCTCTGTGTCTCTCATGAATAAATAAATAAAATATTAAAAACAAAAACTGAGTATCTTCAAAACCTATTAGCATTTACTTTCATGTCTTCCTTCTATGTGGGGTTCACAGCATTAATAGCAAATAGGAAAAGTGATTCTCAATGAAGCTGATCCCTTTGTAAAATAGTGGGAAGATACCACCTGGATTAAAAGCCAGTCCTAGTTTTCACCCAGTATACCACCTGGCCCAGAGAACAATATTCCTACTGCACACTGATAAAATTAAATGAATAGGCATTCGGTAATGAACCTCCTTCTGCGTAGGCTGCTCAGCAGATGGTGAAATTTTGGTTAGAGGCTTAGGCAAGTTCCTTCTCTTTGCTGCTTCTCTGTTTGATGTTTCAAAAGATGTCTGGCTCTCATTTTCAAGCCCCAAATCTTCGTCACCCTGGTCAAAAATAACAGACAATTTCTAAATGCTCTCTATTACCACCTTTATCCCATTCACAGTAGTTATTTCTTTTACTATGATGGCATTTCAGTAAAAAAAAAACAGGATTTAGTTGGGGTGCCTGGGTCATAAAGCATGGAGCTCTTAATCTCAGGGTCATGAGTTCAAGCCCCACATTGGGCGTGGAGCCTACATAAAAAAAAATAATTTAGTCATTATTAGGCCCAGAAATTTAAGGTATATCTCCTTAGACAAGAAAACATGGAGCTTAACATCTTGTGGAAACTACCCTTATCTAGCTCTGGGGCTCTCTCTGATAGATACAAGGCCAAGACAGCTCTTTCCATTTTAACAGATCCCCAAGTTTTTTAGTAGGATGGAAGAAAGAAGAAAATCTGAATGATATTGTTTTCTACTTTCATGGAAGGAAGCAAGCCTAATGCAAGGGATTATGCCTTAAAAGGCTGTGGAAATAGAGCATGTACATAAAAACATGTCTGTATGTGACCAGCAATACCTTCATAGCTGAACTTGGCCCTGTCATATATAAACATATTTTAGTTATATATGAACGTATTTTGTTCTCAAATTAAACTCTGACCTTTCTTTTGAATTAATCACTTTAGAAGGAAAAGGATTTGGGGGATCCCTAGGTGGCTCAGCGGTTTGGCACCTGCCTTCGGCTCAGGGTGTGATCCTGGAGTCCCGGGATCGAGTCCCACATCGGGCTCCCTGTGTGGAGCCTGCCTCTCCCTCTGCCTCTCTCCCTCTCTGTCTCTCATGAATGAATAAATAAAATATTTTAAAAAATAAAAATTAAAAAAAAAAGAAGGAAAAGGATTTTATTCCAGAAATCATAAAGATTACTTTATTAATATTATTCATTAAAACTTTTTCACACGCAAAATAATTGTCAAATTCTCAGATACATTTATTAGCTCAATAATGCCTTTTTGCCAATCTCCTGACCTGTAAACGTTCCCTTCATCGGATTAAAATGGCCACCATTTTGGTGGGCTTTTTCCCCATTCCTTTGCCCTAAGAAAACTTGGAAGAAGCAAGGTCAATGGGAATCAGGAGGTCTTTATGCTCAATAATTAACTGGCCAAACTTAGGCTGACTACAAATTGCCAGGTTTCAGCTGATGCCCATACCTCCTCTTAGCAGTTAACATTCCAATTCTCACATTCTCAATTGTCCTAAGAACCTTAAGTCATAACAATGGCAATGGTCTGCTCTGTCCCTGACTTCTTGTCCTCACTAACTAGATTAAAATATATACTAGAGGGACACATGGGTGACTCAGTGGTTGAGGTCTGCCTTTGGCTCAGGGCATGATCCTGGGGTCCTGGGATCCAGTCCCACATCAGGCCTCCTGCAGGGAGCCTGCTTCTCCCTCTGCCTAAGTCTACTTATTCTCTCATGAATAAGTAAATAAAATAAAATATATACTAGTAGTGCCATGAAGACACAAGGCTAAAAGCAAGGGGCAGAATGACTAATTCACACTGTGACCATTTCCAAAAAAGATGTGGCCAGCTAAAATCAGGCTGTCAGTGTCCAACACCACAAAACCAAACAGAAGACAGACTCAGAAGTGAAATCACTCCCCAGAGCAGGTGCATTTCACGTGGCACATCTTTCACAGTAATTTCATTACTCACTCTTGATTGCTTTATTACCTATTTAGCATTACAAAACGAATAAAAACTGATTCTGCTTCACTATAAGAATCCTGCTAACCTTTACAGGATCACTTTCTTTACAAGATGGTAAAAGGCATGATAGAAACAGAAAGCAAAAAAGAAAACCCCAAAAAGTGTTTAGGACAGATATGACCTTATACATAAAATCTGTGACCAGTTACTCTAAAACTCCACTCCTTTATGAATATCCCTTTTCCTCTGTAACAAAACTTGAAATTGTTGGGACACCTGGGTGGCTCAGCAGTTGAGCACCTGCGTTTGGCCCAGGGCATGATCCTGGAGTCCTGGGAATGAGTCCCACATTGGGCTCCCTGCATGGAGCCTGCTTCTCCCTCTGCCTACGTCTCTGCCTTTCTCTCTGTGTCTCTCATGAATAAATAAAATCTACAAAAAAAAAAACAAAAAAAAACCCTTGAAATTGTAAACTTCCAGTAGCAAATGACAAGTTCATATACAATGCCAAAAGCAAAAAAGAGTCAATGGTTAATTTGACTTTATAGAAACAAAGCCAAACATAATGAGTATAATGTGAGTTTATAGTACCAGGAAGATCTTACTTAAGGAAAGATCTGAATTTCCTCATAAAACATATGGTGACTGATCAACAGTTTTCTCAAAGACTACTCTTATGTGAGAGCTTCTCAGGCATCTAAGTTATACATTCTTTGGGCAACAAAAGCACTTAATTAGCCCTTCAACACACAAATATGTTCTATGTACAACCATAATAAATAAAGACTCCTAAAAAACAGACCATACTAGCAGTTTAACATCATTTGAAAATTTTTAAAAATCAATATATATGATGGGACACCTGGGTGGCTCAGCGGTTTAGAGCCTGCCTTTGGCCCAGGGCATGATCCTGGGAGTCCCGGGATCAAGTCCCATGTCGGGCTCCCTGCATGGAGCCTGCTTCTCTCTCTGCCTGTGTCTCTGCCTCTCTCTTTTCTCTGTGTCTTCCATGAATAAATAAATAAAATCTTTAAAAATATATGTGATATACATTATACATTGTATGTAATATACATATTTTGCATATATATGAGAATTCAAGAAAAGAGTGAGAATTATTTTCTAACCCCAAGTTTATGACCGGTGCTTAACTTCCAGGTTTCACCCGTCATCTGATAAAAGCGCTCTTCCAGTTTTCTCAATTTCATTTCCTGGTGAGGTTTTAGAACATTCTCTATGTATCTGCTGGCCTGTTCAAAAAAAAAATAAATGCATTGTTACTTTAACATTCCTAAGATTTTACGTCTATAAAGTTATGAAGATGAAGAACCAGGTGAAGAAACTGGGTTTTCACACTAACTCAATTTTCCAAAAAAGCAGCATCTTCCATGTTTACAGTACTCTCTAAAAATCTACATTTATACATAATGCAGATAAAAACAAATGTTCTAAAAAAAATGTTCTATATTTATGCTTATCTGGAAGTGTGTCTCTATAGCCTTTAGTGTGTTTTCATTTCTTTTTGTTTTAATAAGATTTTGTTTTTTAAGTAATTAAAAATGACTTTTAAGTCATTTATTTTTAAGTCATCTCTACACCCAACGTAGGGCTTGAACTCACAACCCTGAGATCAAGAGATCACAAATTGTGTGCTCCACCAACTGAGCCAATCAGGTGCCCCTTGACTGTGTCTTCAGTGCAATGAAAACTACTAGGTGTTAGGGACGTAAAGATGCATAGGATGTGATTCTTGACTTCTAGGAGCTTCACATCAACACATCAGCATCAACTGTTGATGGCATGATGCCCAACACATGAAGTCACTTGGAAGAACATTCACTGAATAGCTTAATCATAGGAAAGTTAAACATATTTTTGGATTTAAAAGAAATGGAGAGTCTGGTTTTAAGATGACACAGTGAAATTATTTCTGCCTCCTTCTCCTCTTAAAACTCATCCCTAAAACCAAGAAACAAGAAAGAGAAACCTAAATTCCATCACTGGTGAAACAAAGAAATACTACAGGCACCAAACCCACTGTGTGTAAGGACCTATGGAGGAGTGGGGTAACTGATAGCACACAGTGAGAAAGCTGCAGCCTAAGTGTCTGCAGAAGAGGAGCACAGGAAAAAGAAAGCCAGAGCGCTCCACAGATGCAGAACAATTTAGGAAGAAGACACACCACCACATACCATGGCTGGGATGTGGGGTGAGGTGCAGAGCTGAAAATGGGGAGTGGCGGAGGAAGCCACACATCAACCAATGATGAGATTGTAGTGAACCACAGATGTCTTTGTAACTGAAGGAAAAAAGGGAGGTTAAAAAGGGAAAAGAACTTTTGGACCCCCACACCCAGTACCCTACTGCATACCCAGGGATGGAAGGTTTATTCTCTGGGAATATAAACCAGAGAGGCTCGAGAGTCCCACATCCCAGGCCGAGTGCGAGCAGGAGTGCAAACTGGAAGCACGTTGTACATGAAAATGTACAGATCGACAATGGAGACTCCCCATCCGCCTTCCCCACTTGACTCAGACTGCTGCCAGTCGGGCTTTTGCTCCCAAGGTGAGAGAATGGAGGTGCCCCTTCTGGAGAAGGTGAATGGCAAAAGAACAAAGAGACAATGACAAAGTTAAACTACTCCTCCATCACCCAAAGGGTAAACTGGTGTACACCCAACACCAGCAGAGAACCATCAAACCCTGCCCCCATACACAGAAATTCCAATTAGCTTTATTTTCCTTTTGTTTTATTTAAGTGTAACTTACAAACACTAAAGAATCCAAAGCTTGATGAAATTTTACAGATGCATATTCCATCAAATAACTTTTTGGTGCATCTTTCTTAAAGCTCAAAGGACAGAGCCAAGGATTACCACACGATTAAAGTCTCCAACACAAAAAATGGAGACTACAATTAACAGAGAAAATGGAACTTGAAAAACCACACTGGAATTTTGAGGTTTAATGATGCAGTATCTCAAAATTCTAGTGATTTTCAAACTGCAATTCTGTGCCAAATCAAACTATCAATCAAGTGTCAGAAGAGAAGACTTACCTTTTTACAATGCGAAGCCTCAAAATTTTATTTATCAGCAGGTATGTATCTGTACAAGTTGGGCACTTCACCACGCACACAGACTATACCAAGATACTGATTTATTAATTTTCTTTTGTCCAAAGAGAGAACTTCAATGAGTTAAAGACTTTTGCCAAACTAAAGAATCCTAACTTTACATACCCTTAGGAATTACCCATGCCAATTACAGATAGTTCGCCCCTAGATATAATTATAATACTAATTATCATGCAAGGCTTTACAATTAATAGTTACTTCCACAGGAAATAACATTAAGCTTCAAAAGTTCAAATATTTACAAGAGAGCTTCTTTCTTACAAAAAGATCTCACAACAACACTTTTACTGTTCTAAATTCAGATCAGGGTAGTTACACGTGTAGTAATCTCCCAACCCCTAACAAATACATAGACTTTTACTCTTGTGATTTGTTTTCAGCCTTCACTTGTTTACTTAAAAAGGAATAATTTGTTCACCAGAAGAACAAGTTGTTTAGATGTTGAAACCCGTTGATAACAAATTGAAAACAAGTTGATAGCTTTCAAAATATTAATGTCCTTGTACTAAGGTCTTTGTAAAGAGTTTATGTTTTTAGGGACACCTGGGTGGCTCAGCAGTTGAGCGTCTGCCTTCAGCTCAGGGCGTGATCCCACGGTCCTGGGATCGAGTCCCACATCGGGCTCCCTGCTTGGAGCCTGCTTCTCCCTCTGTGTATGTCTCTGCCTGCCTCTCTGTGTCTCTCATGAATAAATAAATAAATTTTTTTAAAAAAGTTTGTTTTTAATATTTAGGTGGAAGTCCACAGGAGTCTCCTCTTTCACAAAGGTTAATCATCAATCTGCCAACTACCTGAGTGCTTACAGTTCAAGGTCAAGAAATAAGTGTTAGATAATCATCCATAGTAAATGTAATTCCTAGACAGCAAACACAATCTTGAATAGGATATGGCAAAAGCAGGGGATCCCTGGGTGGCGCAGCGGTTTGGCGCCTGCCTTTGGCCCAGGGCGCGATCCTGGAGACCCGGGATCGAATCCCACGTCGGGCTCCCGGTGCATGGAGCCTGCTTCTCCCTCTGCCTGTGTCTCTGCCTCTCTCTCTCTCTCTCTGTATGACTATCGTAAATAAATAAAAAAAATTAAAAAAAAAAAAAAGGATATGGCAAAAGCAATGCTAAGAAGGAAAGTTATAGCTATGAACATCTAATTAAAGAATAATTTTTTTTTATTTTTTAAGATTTTATTTATTTATTCATGAGAGACATAGAGAGAGAGAGGCAGAGACACAGGAGGAGGGAGAAGCAGGCTCATAAGAAGAAAATATATAGGAATAAGGGACGCCCGAGTGGCTCAGCAGTTAAGCCTCTGCCTTTGGCTCAGGGCGTGATCCCAGAGTCCAGGATTGAGTCCCACATCAGGCTTCTTGCATGGAACCTCCTTCTCCTTCTGCCTATGTCTCTGCCCCCCCCCCACCTCTCTCTCTCTCATAAGTAAATAAAATCTTTTAAAAAAAAAAGGAATAAATGTTCATGGCTTTTGATTTGGCAATGGATTCTTTTTTTTTTTTTTTTTGGCAATGGATTCTTAAATAGGACACCAAAAACATGAGGATCAAGAGAAATAAACAGATTTCATCAAAACTGTTGTCATCAAAGAACACTATCAAAAGAGTGAGGGGATCCCTGGGTGGCTCAGCAGTTCGGCGCCTGCCTTTGGCCCAGGACGTGACCCTGGAGTCCCCGGATCGAGTCCCACATCGGGCTCCCTGTATGGAGCCTGCTTCTCCCTCTGCCTGTGTCTCTGTCTCTCTCATGAATAAATAAATAAAATCTTAAAAAAAAAAAAAAGAGTGAAAAGATAACCCACACAATGGGAGAAAATACTTGGAAATAATGTAACTGATAAAAGGCTAGTATTTAGAGTACATAAAGAAAAAGAATTCATAAAAAAAAGATGGGGGCAGCCCAGGTGGCTCAGCAGTTTAGCGCCTGCCTTCTGCCCAGGTCGTGATCCTGGAGACCTGGGATTGAGCCCTGCATCGGGCTTCTCCCTCTGCCTGTGTCTCTGCCTCTCTCTCTCTCTCTCTCTCTCTCTGTGTGTGTGTGTCTCTTTCATGAATAAATTAATAAAATCTTAAAAAAAAAAAAAAGACAGGATGCCTGGGTGGCTCAGAGGTTGAGCTTCTGTCTTTGGGGTCTTGGGATCAAGTTCTGCATTGGGCTCCCTCTGCCTATGTCTCTGCCTCTCTGTGTGTGTCTCACATGAATATTTATTTATGATATTTATTTATGAATAAATATTTTTAAAAACAAAACTCAATCCAAAAATGGGCAAAGAACCTGAACAGATATCACTGTAAAGATATAGGAAGAGACATTTCTCCAACAAGCACACAAAAAGATACTCAACATCATTAGTCATTAGGGAAATGCTGATCAAAACCACCAGGTTATAACACTTCATACTCATTACAATGGGTATCTAAAAGGAGGTGGGGATGGGATAATAAATATCAGTGAGGATATGGAGAAATTGGACCCCTCAGAAACTGCTGGTGAGAATAAAAATGGTATAGCTGGTGTAGAAAACAGTTTGGTCGTTCTTCAAAAAGTGAATACGGGGGCACCTGGGTGCCTCGCTCAGTGGCTGACTGTCTGCCTTCAGCTCAGGTCATGATCCCAGGGTTCTGGGATCAAGTCCTACATCAGGCTCCCTGCATGGAGCCTGCTTCTCTCTCTGCCTGCATCTCGCATCTCTGCCTGTCTCTGTGTGTGTCTCTCATGAATAAATAAAATCCTTAAAAAAAAAAGTATGCTTTACCTTTTCACCTTGTGCCTCTTGTTGCTTTTTTCTGACAAGTTTTTGCCGTTTCTCATTCTTCTCTTCTTCTTCTAAAACAGCAAACATAAAAGTGCTTTTTATTTCCAAATATCATGAATTGAAAGTTTTCTCTGAAAGTAGTCTGTAGACAACATTTTGGAGACAAGAAGAGACAACCTTTCAAAAAACAGACTATTTTTCAAATAATGAAAATGACATATATACAGACAGTTCAAACAAAGAAATCCACAAGTAAAATCTATAAGAAAAGGTCTGAGACAACAATTTTCTGACATGTATTAATATTAAATAGTTGTATTTTTGGTGAGGAGGCTTCAAGAATGACTATGGGAGCACCTGGGTGGTTCAGTCATCTACACATCTGCCTTCAGCTCAAGTTATAATCCCAGAGTCCTGGGATTGAGCCCCAAGTCAGGCTCCCTGCTTAGGGGGGAGTCTGCTTCTCCCTCTCCCTCTGCCCCTCCCCACATCATGCTGTCAAAAAAATAAAATCTTAAAAAAAAAAAAAAAAAAGAATGATTATGTTGGGGACCACCTCATTGGCTCAGGTGGTTAAGCATTCGACTCCTGATCTCAGCTCAGGTCTTGATCTCAGGGCTGTGAGTCCAACCCCTGCACTGGGCTCCACTTTACTTAAAAAAAATAAAAAATAAAAATAAAAAAAAGGGACGCCTGGATAGCTCAGGAGTTGAGCATCTACCTTTGGCTCAAGTCGTGATCCCAGTGTTCTGGGATCGAGTTCCACACTGTGCTCCTGGCAGGGGGCTTCCTTCTCCCTGTTTCTCATGAATGAATAAATAACATAAATAAATCTTAAAAAAAAAAAAGTTGGATTTTTCATGTAGGCCCTTATAGGGCTTCAGCAGCTTCAAGACATGCCATGGAAACTCATTACTTACTGCACATGAAGTGTGGAACACTGCACTACAGACATGAGTACCATTTGGTCACCCTTGGACATGATCATAAAAGCAACATGCCTGGGCACCTGGCGGTTCCAGTCAGTAGAACATGTGACTCCTGATCTCGGGGTTGTAAGTTCAAGCTCCACATTGGATGTAGAGATTTCTTAAAAATAAAATCATAAAATCATTAAAAAAATAATAAATGCAACATGCCTATATTCTAAAGCTGGGGTGTGTTTGGCAACTCCCATGACTGAACCAATATTAGGTTATCAGCTAAATGGCAAGAGAAAGGATTTTTGCTGTTGTATGACCTTTTATATTCTGGGTACACCAAGTTAGCTAGTTAGTTAAAGTAGGCTTGAGTTCACAACCCTGAGATCAAGACCAAAGCTGGTATCAAGAGTCGGATGCTTAACCAACTGAGGCATCCAGGAGCCTCTACTAAATTTCATTTAAATTAATTTCATTTAACTGTGTTCTCTTTTTTTTTTTATAAAGATTTTTTTTATTTTAATTTTTATTTATGATAGTCACACAGGGAGAGAGAGAGAGAGGCAGAGACGTAGGCAGAGGGAGAAGCAGGCTCCATGCACCGGGAGCCTGACGTGGGATTCGATCCCGGGTCTCCAGGATCGCGCCCTGGGCCAAAGGCAGGCGCCAAACTGCTGTGCCACCCAGGGATCCCTTAACTGTGTTCTCTTAAGGAATTATCCATCCTTTTGAAAAATATATCCCTTAATGTGCCTGGCTCCTTAAATAGCAGCATTCCTTTGTCAACTACTTTCTTTCCTGGCAATAAATATTTCCTCAAGTTTATTAAGGGGAAAGATTAGGGCAGTAGCAAACCACATAGGAAATCAGGAGGCCACTAATCTGCTGTGTGATGAGTCAGACTTAATGATCTTAAGACTCCCTCCTGAACTCTGAGTCAAAGAATATAGCTTCTAAATAAATCAATAACAGGTGGTTAAGGGGCCTTAATCCTTTTTTTTTTTTTTTAAGGAGGCTCCATGCCCAATGTGGGGCTTGAACTCATGACCCTGGGATCAAGAGTCATATGATCTATCGACTAAACGGCCAGGTGCCCCAAGGAGCTTTAATCCTTAAAGCCATTGAGAATTGACTACTTCTGAACTTTGATAGACTTCATCATGCAAATCTTTATAAAACATGGAGGATTAAAATTTTGGATGAATCTGAAGTCTTGTATCTCAACATCTGATGACACTAGGGAAGATAGAAAGTGTATAAACAAGCTGATTTTTTACTAATTTGAAGAAAATCTGACAATACTTAAGCACTTTATGCAGTTTTAATTACTTTTTTTTTTTTGAAGATTTTATATATTTATTTGAGAAAGAGAGCAAGAGCAGGGGGAGGGAGAAGCAGTCTCCCTACTCAGGAGGGGGACCAACATAGGGCTTGATCCCTGGGCGCCAGAATCATGACCTGAGCTGAAAGCAGACATTCAACCAACTAAGCCACACAGGCACCTCTCTCTCTCTCTCTCTCTCTCTCTCTGTCTCTCTCTCTTTAAAGATTTTATTTATTTATTTGAGAGAGAGAGAGCACAAGCAGCATGGAGAAGGAGGAGGAGGCTCCGTGCTCAGCAGGGAGCCCAACATGGGGCTTGATCCCTGGACCCTGGGATAGTGACCTGAGCTGAAGGCTGACTCTTAACAACTGAGTCACCCAAGTGCCCAGCTTCTAACACTTTTAATATTATTAAAGGCTTTTAACAGTTAAACATTTTACTCATCAAAAATAAGAACAAGCATGGTTTCCTAAAGTTAGGAGTAAGCACCTAACTCTACAGATAAATAAGTGTAAAGAAAAACTACCACAGTGAAATGAAAGATAAACTAGGTTGAAAAGCCTTTACAAATTAATGGTAGACACAATTACCAATTGTTGAATAGTTTATAAACTGAAAACCTCAAAGAACAATTAAACTGCACAATTTAGGGACATCTAGGTGGCTCAGTTGGTTAGGCATCAGCCTTGGGCTCAGGTCATGATGTCAGGGTCTGGACTGAGCCCTGTGTCAGGGTCCCTGCTCAGCAGGGAGTCTGTGTCTCCCTCTCCTTCTGCCCCTCCCCCTCCTTTCCCCAACTCCTGCACCCATACGCACGTTCTCGTTCTCTTTCTCTCTCTCTCAAATAAAATCTTTAAAAATAAATAAACTGGGGCATCTGGAAGGCTCAGAGGTTGAGCGTCTGCCTTTGGCTCAGGTCGTGATCCCAGGGTTCTGGGATCAAGTCCTGCACTGGGCTCTCTGCAGGAACCCTGCTTCTCCCTCTGCCTCTCTGTCTCTGTCTTTCATGAATAAATAAAATCTTTAATAAATAAATAAATAAACATGGGGATCCCTGGGTGACTCAGCAGTTTAGCGCCTGCCTTCGGCCCAGGGCGTGGTCCTGGAATCCCAGGATCCAGTCCCACATCAGGCTCCCTGCAAGAAGCCTGCTTCTCCCTCTGTATCTCTGCCTCTCTCTCTGTCTCTCATGAATAAATAAAATCTTAAAAAATAAATAAATAAAAATAAATAAGCTGCACAATTTAAAATTAGAGAATTTGCAATGTATCAATATAGAAATGGTATCATTTCAAATGCACATAAAGGATAATGTACAATTTCCATATAAAGGATAATGTACAATTTCCTTTATATGCATATAAATGTTGGGTTTAGGGGCAACTGGGTGGTTCAGTTGGTTAAGCATCTGCTTTCAGCTTAGGTCATGATCCCAGAGTCCTGGGATTGAGCCCCACGTCGAGCTCTCTGCTCAACAGGGAGTCTGCTTCTCCCTCTATTCTTCCCTGCTCATGCTCTCTCTCCAATAAATAAATAAAATCTTTTTTAAAAAATAATGTTGGGTTTAAGGGCATCTGGGTGGTGCAGTCAGTTGAGTGTCAGACTCTTGGTTTCAGTTCAGGTAGTGATCTCCAGGTGATGAAGCCCCTTGTCAGGTTCCATGCTAAGGAAGGAGTCTGCTTGAGATTCTCTCTCTCTCTCTCTCTCTCTCTCTCTCTCTCCTCTCCCTCTGCCCCTCCCACTCATGCTCTCTCGCTCTCTCTCAAAATAAATTTTTTTAAAAAAATTTTAACTGGCGATTTATCATCCATTAAAAATCAAGAAGAGGGGCACCCAGGTGGCTCAGTTGTTTGAGCACCTACCATCGGCTCAGGTCATGATCCCAGGGTTCTGGGATTGAGCCCCCCACTTTGGGCTCCCTGCTTTGTGGGAAGCCTGCTTTCCTTCTCCCTCTGCCTGCCACTCCTCCTGCTTGTGCTGTCAAATAAATAAAATAAAATCTTAAAAAAAAAAATCAAGACAAAAGTTGCAATGATTACCTTGAAGTGGGACATCACAAATTAACAGTAAATGGTTCTTGTTACGCAAAGTTCTAGAATCAACAAAGAATTTAAGTATACAATTATAAAAGGGTAGCATAAACAATAAACTTACCTTTCAGATATACTTGAGATGATTTAAATGAATTAAGCCATGAGGTAGTCACAGAAATAATTAAAGTAAGAAGAGCAAGCAGTAAGAAAATCCGACCACACAGCAAAATTAGATCTTTAACTCCTTATAAAGGTAAAGAAAAAAAAATTACTATTAAAATTCAAGACACTTTTCTTGATATTAATAAATAGTAAGGCATTAAGATTATTTATAGTAAAGTACAGTAAAAGTTAATATACGCAACTGTCTTACGATTTTTTTCATATAGTCTCCTTAGTAAGCTAAAACTCATTGCAGGGGATCCCTGGGTGGCGCAGCGGTTTGGCGCCTGCCTTTGGCCCAGGGCGCGATCCTGGAGACCCGGGATTGAATCCCACGTCGGGCTCCTGGTACATGGAGCCTGCTTCTTCTCCCTCTGCCTATGTCTCTGCCTCTCTCTCTCTCTCTCTGTGTGTGACTATCATAAATAAATAAAAATTAAAAAAAAAAACTCATTGCAGATATCATTACCAAAACAAGTTTTCAGAAAACAATTTTAGAATAGCTTCTGTCTCAGAAATATAATTCAAGTGACTGGCTACATTATAAACATTATGACTATCAATAACGCATAAATTCTGGTTTCCCTCTGTCCAGAGGAAATAAAATTATCCCATTGGGAATTAAATTTTGACAGTATCATCTTGTCAAATTCTCATTCTATTTAAAAAGTCATTCTGAAACACGAAATTCATATTTCTCATAGTTAAATTATGCTCCTGTATACCTCTCTATTCCTCAATATTAATTCAGTCATTTGCAAAGAAAATTTCTATATACCTCCATGTTTGCCTAGAAAAAAGTAAAAATTCAGTATTTTGTCTCATTTTAAGAATAAATATGAAAATCAAATGAGCAAAAGTGTAATAACCACCTGCACTTCATGTAACACAATTTGCTACATGGTGAGGGAGCAAAAATAAAGTTGGGTTAAAAATAATTTCTATGCTCCAGGAGTTTTTAGTTTTGTAGCTCTAAAAGTTTCCAGGCAAAGGTACAGAAAAACCATCACATTCAGGGCTGGTAATTAGTCAATTTAAGATTAATGAAGAAAATATATATACAGACTTAAATCTTTCTTTCTTTCTTGAAGTATCATTGACTACACTTGTGATAAAGATTTTATTTCTTTTAATTTAATAAGTTAATTTATTTTTTAAAAAAATTTATTTAAGGGGATCCCTGGGTGGCGCAGCGGTTTGGCGCCTGCCTTTGGCCCAGGGCGCGATCCTGGAGACCCGGGATCGAATCCCACGTCGGGCTCCCGGTGCATGGAGCCTGCTTCTCCCTCTGCCTGTGTCTCTGCCTCTCTCTCTCTCATTCTATGTGACTATCATAAATAAATAAAAATTTAAAAAAAAAATTATTTAAGTAATCTCTGTACCCAGTGTGGGGCTCAAATTCACAACTTGGAGATCAAGAGTCACACACTCTTCTGACTGAGCTAGCCAGGTGTCCCATAAATATTTCATTTTTAACTGAAACGCGATATATATGTTATCCTTTTCAAAAATAGCAATTTAAAGTTGTTTAGAGAAGAGATACTTGTTTTGCCTCACAGTCCTCCAATTTTTGCCAGCATTAGCTGTTGATTTAAGTGTTGTTCAAAACAACACCTAACTAAGTCTAGGGTATTAGAAAAGTAATTTAATACCGACAGTACTGGGGACCCCTGGGTGGCTCGGTGGTTGAGCATCTGCCTTCAGCTCAGGTCATGATCCTGGGGTCCTGGGACTGAGTTCCCCATCGGGCTCTCCGCAGGGAGCCTGCTTCTCCCTCTATGCCTCTGCCTCTCTCTCTCTGTGTCTTTCATGAATAAATAAATAAAATCTTTAAAAAAAAATACCTACAGTATTGGTATTTAGAGAAATCACTAAGTTATAGGATTTATGTTCCATAATACTGCTTTTGTGTTCTAACAAGCAAGCAATTTGCAAATGTCATATGGGAATATAAAAGAACTAGATTTGTGTGTACATCTTTCAAGTAAAAAATTACTTAATTAAATCGATTTTTTGGGTACTTATTCTCAAGAGCCCATGTGCAGGGCAATCAACACTTGTAGTACTTGACTCCTTCCTGGGTGGGGGAGAGAGAAATATACAAAGCTAGGTTTCATCGGAACTACTTCAGAATTGAACATAAAGGGCAGCCCGGGTGGTTCAGCGGTTTAGTGCCGCCTTCAGTCCAGGGCCTGATCCTAGACACCCGGGATCCAGTCCCACGACCGGCTCCCTGCATGGAGCCTGATTCTCCCTCTGCCTGTGTCTCTGCCTCTCTCTCTCTCTGTGTGTCTCTCATGAATAAATTAAAAAAAAAAAAAAAGAATTCAACATAAAGAGGGAAACATGAAGGTTAAATCCACCACTAATATATCCAAAAACGGACTGATTCTCCACAGGTCCACCATTTTTCCTGTTTTCCCTTTATCACTCCAACAACCAACTACTTAGGGTTGTTCAATTTCATAGGTAGGAGTCATTCTAGTCATTCTTGATCCCTCCTCTCCCATTAATCCATCCACAAATCCTGTTGATTCTACTTTGTAAATATTCCAAATCCGTGGCGCCTGGATGGCTCAGTGGCTGAGCATCTATCTGCCTGTGGCTCAGGTCGTGATTCCAGGGTCCTGGGATCATGTCCTACAGGGGGCTCCTCATAGGGAGCCTGCTTCTCCCTCTGCCTGTGTCTCTGCCTCTCTCTCTCTCTGTCTCTCATGAATAAATTAAAAAAAAAAAAAACAATTCAACATAAAGAGGGAAACATGAAGGTTAAATCCACCACTAATATATCCAAAGACGGACTGATTCTCCACAGGTCCACCATTTTTCCTGTTTTCCCTTTATCACTCCAACAACCAACTACTTAGGGTTGTTCAATTTCATAGGTAGGAGTCATTCTAGTCATTCTTGATCCCTCCTCTCCCATTAATCCATCCACAAATCCTGTTGATTCTACTTTGTAAATATTCCAAATCCGTGGCGCCTGGATGGCTCAGTGGCTGAGCATCTATCTGCCTGTGGCTCAGGTCGTGATTCCAGGGTCCTGGGATCATGTCCTACAGGGGGCTCCTCATAGGGAGCCTGCTTCTCCCTCTGCCTGTGTCTCTGCCTCTGTGTGTGTCTCATGAATAAAATCTTAAAAGAAAAAATTCTAAATCTGTGAACGTTTTTTTCATCAGTTATCATCCTAGTCCAGGCCATCATCACTACTTGCCTACTTCACTCAGAGCCTCACTTGCTTCACTGCTTCCACTACAGCCTCCTTCCCACACATTCTCCACAGAATCCACTGACTGACTAATAATCTCTTCGCCCAATGTGGAGCTTGAACTCACGGCCTGAGATCAAGAGTCGCACGCTCCACAGACGGAGCCAGCCAGTCCTCTAGTGACTCTCAAAGCCTTAGGGATGTGCTTAACCTCCGCCAAGTCTTGTTTCCTCAAGCGTAGGATGAGGATTCTACTAAGTACAGACGCCCCCTCCCCCATAGTTATAATGCAGATTGGATAAGATAATGGATAAACAGCACTTAGAGCGAGGCTTGTAACAGATGCCCAGTGACATGTTGTCATCTCAAGCCACTCTCCCCCTAAGTCTCCCTGATCCATCAACAGTGGTCTTCAGCCCTTTCCTCCAACAGGTCACAATTCCTTTCGTCTGGAATGTTTGGACTCTGGCTCCGTAGCATTTCCTTAAATTCCTTAGAAGGCCTCTATCACCACCTCGCCCTACTTCTTTGTGAGCGTTCAAGACAATCTGAAAGTAGCGTCTACGCGCGTCCTGCGCTTCCCGCCAGCCTGTGTCCCCTTGCACGCGAAACCAGACGGACGCCTCCAGCGCGAAGACCGGTCGACCTCCCTCAGAGCGGCTGCGGACCCGGCGCCAGAAGAGAGACGGGCGCGGTGCGGTCTGGGAATTGTAGTCCCAGACGCCGAAGAAGACGCGACCGCGAGACAGGAATTCGAACACATTCATGGGAAAGTTATGCGGCTGTGAATGCCAGAATGGAAAAGACAACACTTACCTAGATCAGGGCTCCCACGCCGGAGCTCCAGACACAAGATGGGGAGAGCAGAGAGGAGGAAAATGCCAACAACCCCACGAGAAGCCATGGTGGCGGGAGCGCCGCGTCCGGGCGGGAGCCCCGCCTCTTCCGGTTGCGCCTTCCTCTGGACGGTAAGGAACGGAGCCCTTAGTGAGGGGGCGGTCTTCGGGGTCGGCTAGACCCTGAAGCCCGGTGGTTGGTTCGACTACGATAGCCCCTGTTTTTGAACTCATAACCTGTAGCCTTATATCAGAAGAAATGCAGATCATCTCCCCACGTCACATTATGTCCAGAAGAGATGGCGTGCCTGGCAGCCCCCCTCCCTGGCCAGACGTGAGATAGCAGAGCTTGGGCGCTGGCGGCTGCACCCGGGAGGCCGGGCCCGCAGCGCTCGTCCCTCGGCGGCGAGTTGGACTCTGGAAGCTGTGAAAGAGAACTCTGAAGAGTAAAACGCATTGGAAGATAAAGTGTAGTGTTACTGTGAATGACTTACCTTGGCGTCATGGTTCTATGACCTCATTGCTATCCCATGACTCGCCTCTGTGGCGCTTCTGCCCACCTGCAACTCTTAAATGACAGTGGTCTCCACAGTTTACAAAGTTTCTTGCTTTAAAGTTTTGTGTTCTGGCCCATCCATCAATCCTCCCACCTCACCCTTCTGTGGAGTCCAACACATTTATTGAACTCCCCAGTGTGCCTGGTACTGTAGAACTATGGGAAATTCAAATATATGTAAGTTACTAAATTTGTCCTCAAGAAACTCAGTTTACTAGCCCTGCCTGTAAACAGATAAATACAGGGACGCCTGGGTGGTTCAGTGGTTGAGCATCTGCTTTCAGCTCAGGGCAGGATCCCAGTCTGGGGATGGAGTCTGCATCCCGCTCCCTGCAAGGAACCTGCCTCTCCCTCTGCCTATGTCTCTGTCTCTGTCTGTGTCTCATGAATAAATTAAAAAAAAAAAAACAAAACGGATGAATATAATACAGCACTTGAGTGCTATGATAGGGATACCCACCCCGTACAATGAACTCTACCCCAGTGGTTTGGGGGGAAAGCCTTCAAATTGTGTTGTAAATGTCAGGAGTTGAGTGGAGGATTGGCAGTGAGGACTAAAGGAAGAGTGGGATTTCAAATTTAGGAAGCAATGCAGAGGAATTACCAGTTCAAGTATATAATGGTTTAAATAGTTTAAATATTAAATACTTAATAGTTTAAAATAATGCAGTTTAAAGTTTGAATGGAGGGACCGCTCAGTGGTTGAGCATCTGCCTTTGGCTCAGGTCATGATCCCAGGGGTCCTGGGATCGAATCCTGCATCAGGCTCCTCACAGGGAGCCTGCTTCTCCCTCTGCCTATGTCTCTGTCTCTCTCTGTGTGTCTCATGAATAAATAGTAAATCTTATAAAAATTTTTTTTATATCAAGTCCCACATCAGGCTTCCTGCATGGAGCCTGCTTCTCCCTCTGCCTGTGTCTCTGCCTCTCTCTGTGTGTCTCTCATGAATAAATAATATTTCAAAAAAAAAGTTTGAATGGAGATGTATACATAGGTTGGAGCTAGGCCCACAGGGAACTTTGCTTTGTTTATGGGCTAAGAACTTTGTCCTGAACCTGAAAGTGCAAAATAGGAAGGCACAATCTCAAAATCAGTTCGGTGAAGTAATATAAATTATAACATGACATACCAATTAAATAATTAAATATATTGACTCACTAAGAGATTCTTACTTGTTGTCTGTATGAACACAGGAAAAGAAAGTTCCACAGGTCTTACCATATTCATTTTTATACAGTTTCCTCCTTTAGGTATTTTTCTTGTTATTGTTCTCTGGCTTTATATATTCCTCTTTTTTTTAAGATTTTTATTTATTTATTCATGAGAGACAGAGAGAGAGAGACAGAGAGAGAGGCAGAGACACAGGCAGAGGGAGAAGCAGGCTCCATGCAAGGAGCCCGATGCAGGACTTGATCCTGGGACTCCAGGATTATGCTCTGAGCTGAAGGCAGACATTTAACCGCTGAGCCACCCAGGCATCCCTGGCTTTCTATATTCCTAATTTCATCTGTTGATAGCGCCAGTGAATTTCTGTCAAGAGAGTAAAGTGGAGGCTTGCAAGTACTCCAGGGTCATACACATTTTCCAAACTTTGTCCATTGTGAAATCTCTCTCTGTCCATTGTAATTATCTATGCTAACTCCTTGCAAAAAGACCAGCAAAATAATCCGTTTTAGTAAAACCAAGTTTCCCACCCACTACATTAAGGGAGAATACTATCTTGACAAAGTCTTAATAGTGTCTCAGAGAAAAGGTCAAGGATTTTGAAGTTTAGATTGGAGTGGTTTAAGGTGGGCTTTTCAATTCCTTTGTGGGTACCTCACCGGGATTGGACATAGTGCATGGTATAGTAGTTTAGTACTGGTGGGCTGAGCAAGATACCAGACTTGACAGCAGGTGAGTTTCCTTTTTTTGGTAAAGAAGGGGATTTGCCAATTGAGTGATGAGTTCAACTTCTCAGTACCTGAGAGGGAAACTTTTTACCTAGATGAGCAACCTATTGTTCAGATAAATGGATTTTCAGGAAAATTTAAAGTTAATGAGTTATGTACTGACAGCCTACTTACGGGCAAGAATTTCCTGGAACAATAGTAGACTCATTATGGTGATTTATGTAATTCTTTTTTTTTTTTGATTGATGTAATTCTAAGTGATTTTATAACCCATGCACTACGGATGTCTCAGTTCTCACAATACAATCTTATAAACATCCTTGGGTGTAGTATAAGAGAAAGAGATTTTATTTTTTTTTTATTTATTTTTTAATTTCTGTTTTTTTTTTTAATTTTTTTATTTATTTATGATAGTCACAGAGAGAGAGAGAGGCAGAGACACAGGCAGAGGGAGAAGCAGGCTCCATGCACCGGAAGCCCGATGTGGGATTCGATCCCGGGTCTCCAGGATCGCGCCCTGGGCCAAAGGCAGGCGCCAAACCGCTGCGCCACCCAGGGATCCCGAGAAAGAGATTTTAAAATCTACATACTTCATATTAAATTATTAATATTCTTAAAGCACAAATTTCACATTTTTTCTTAACAAGTGATGCAACCTGTTCATGTATTAAAAAGTAGGATTGCAAAAAAAAAAAAGTAGGATTGCCAACATATTTAAAAATTATATATAATTGGGCAGCCCTGGTGGCTCAGCGGTTTAGCGCCACCTTCAGCCTGGGGCGTGATCCTGGAGACCCGGAATCAAGTCCCACGTTGGGCTCCCTGCTTGGAGCTTGCTTCTCCCTCTGCCTGTGTCTCTGCCTCTGTGCATGTGGGTGTCTCTCATGAATAAATAAAATCTTTTTTAAAAATTATATATAATCATATTTGGTAAGGGAACTAATATTTATTAAAATGTAGCCTGAATTATATACATTAAGTGTATCCAAAATGCTTTTGTGATGAAATTTTGGAATTTTGCATTTTAAAAAATCAACTAGTTGGAACGCCTAGCTGGCTCAGTCACTAGATCATGCAACTCTTGATCTTGGGGCTGTGAGTTTGAGCCCCTGTAGAGTATAGAGATTACCTATTTTTAAAAATACTGTTTAAAATTTTTTTTCAGGGCAGCCCAGGTGGCTCAGCAGTTTAGCGCTGCCTACAACCTAGCGTGTGATACTGGAGACCCCGGATCGAGTCCCACGCCGGGCTCCCTGCATGGAGCCCGCTTCTCCCTCTGCCTGTGTCTCTGCCTCTCTCTCTCTGTGTCTCTCATGAATAAATAAATAAAATCTTGGGCGGTAGGCGGGGGGTGGGGGTGACTGAGGTGGGCACTTGACACTTGACGGGATGAGTACTGGGTGTTATTCTGTATGTTGACAAATTGAACACAAATAAAAAATTATATTATAAATAAATAAATAAATAAATAAATAAATAAATAAATCTTTAAAAGTAAAATAAAATAAAAATAAAATAAATTTTTTTTCAATATTTTATTAAGTTATTTTTCAGACAAGGGGTGCCTAGCTGGTTCAGTCTGAAGAGCATGTGACCCTTGACCTTGGGGTCATAATTCAAGCCTAATGTGGGGAGTAGACATTACTTAAAAAATGAAAAGATTGGGATCCCTGGGTGGCGCAGCGGTTTGGCACCTGCCTTTGGCCCAGGGCACGATCCTGGAGACCCGGGATCGAATCCCACATCGGGCTCCCGGTGCATGGAGCCTGCTTCTGCCTCTGCCTCTCTCTCTTTCTCTCTCTGTGACTGTCATAAATAAATAAAAATTTAAAGTAAAATAAAATAAAATAAAAAAATGAAAAGATTACTTAAATAAAACTTTAAAAAGAAAAAAAAGAAAATTTTCAGACAAGAAAGTTAAAAAATGTAGTGAGTATCCATATACCCACCACATTTTATTATACATATTTTAATCACATATCTACGAACCTGTCTTCTCTTTTTTTTTAACTTGTCTTTTTTTTGTAGCATTGCAAAGTTGTAGACATTAAGGGCTCCTGGTGGCTTGGTTAAGTGTCTGACCATTAATCTCAGCTCAGATCTTGATCTCAGTGTCATGAATTCAAGCCCCACATTGGGCTCCACGCTGAGTGTGGAACCTAGTTAAAAATTAAAACAAACAAGCAAATAAACAACAGGTGCCTGCATGGCTCAGTCAGTTAAGCATCTGCCTTCTGTTCAGGTCATGATCCCCCTGGGGTCCTGGGATTAATCCTGCCCTGTGGATTAATCCTTGCTCAGGATTAATCCTGAGCTCCCTACTCAGTGGGGAGTCTGCTTCTTCTTCTTCCTCTGCCCCTCCTTCCTCTCAGGCTCTCTTGCTTTCTCTTTCAAATGAATCAATAAAATGTAAAAAAAAAAAAAAAAAAGTTGCAGACATTAGTACACTTCGCCCAATATACTTCAGTGCGCATATCATTAACTGTATGTTATGATTATGTATACTTGACATGATATGCATACTCTAGCATGCCTATCATTAACTACGAAAAAACGTAAATATCTAAACTGCACATTGCTTGAGTTCCAGTATAAACATTGTTAAAAGATAAACTAAGGGATATTGAAAACTTTAGGTATTTATTTGAGCAAAAATCTATTCGAATTGGGCAGCATCCAATCCAGGAGACACAAAGGAGCTCTGAGACTTTTATAGCCAGAGGAAGAGAGAATAATGAAGTTATTCTAGGCAAAAAATAGGTTGGTTATTGCAAGATTACTTTCCTTTAGGCGATGGCAGGGGTCTATCAAGCAGATTACCTAAGTAGTACTGATGTAGTTTTGGAATATAAGTGAGGTTTAGTGGGATGAGGTCAAGAGCCAATGACCAAGAAAGAATTCTTTTTTTTTTTTTTAGAATTCTTTTTTTTTAATAATAAATTTATTTTTTATTGGTGTTCAATTTGCCAACATACA